CCTCAACCACGGTTTAGGGTTTAGGGTTTAGGGTTTAGGGTTTAGGGTTTAGGTTTAAGGCTCCCTGGGACCTAAACCCTAAACCCTAAACCCATCTCGAAAAGTTCTTTTCGGGAAGCCTCACCGTCCTAAAAGGGAGCCCCTAATTTAGCAAAGTTTAGGGTTTAGGGTTTAGGGTTTAGGGTTTAAGGGCACTTACACGAAGCCTGGTAGTCCTTAGGGTTCCTCAATACCCAGAGACTCCAATGTCCCTTAATTAGTGAATATACCTTAGCATTATAGTAGGATCCCTAATATGATTTAAGGTATATTCCTTAATTAAGGGATTAAGGGATATTGGAGTCTCTGGGCAGAAATGTTATCAACCCCAGGACTCTGTTCGACTTGTTTCGGGCTCCTTTGTTGCGACCCTTTGCGCTTGAGTGCCGCAGGTGGGCACAACAGGACTCCGAGTGGTGGGTGGCCGAAAGCACGAAGTGGAGGGACATCCCGGTGCCCGGGCTGCAGAAATTCGGGAGGAGTGTGAATGATGACGACGATGAGGATTATTGTCTCGATGATGACGGTGATGAAGATGATGATGCTGATGATGATGAAGATGAGGATGTTGTTGATGATAATGACGGTGGTGATGGCGTTGCTGCTGCCGCTGCCTGGCTTTCTCCGTTGTCCTGTTTCCAGAACACGTTTCAACGGAGTTGTCTTCGAGTACTAGACTTCAAGCTTAAACCCTAACCCTCCAGGTACCTACTATACAGGGAACTAGAGCCCCTAGGGCCCTATATAGTAGGTACCTGGAGGGTTAGGGAAAGTGTAGTGAGTGTAGGGCTCTAGGAGCTTTGAAGATGAACCCTCCAGCAAATCCCGTAGGGTCCAAGTACCCGAATAGTTAGGGTTTCATGGTCCAAAAACCACTCAGAGTATGGATTTTGGGGCCTAAAACCTTACTATTTGGGTCCTCGGACCCTCTGGGAAGGTGGCTTTTTTTTTTTGCGCACGCGGCGTCGGATCTGAAGTCAACGGCGCGGCATGAAGAAACCCACATTGAACACCAAAACCCTAAGCCCTAAACCCTAAACCCAATGGCTACGGCTCAAGGCCGTTTCGGTTCATTCTTCTGATCTTCAGTGCCCCTGTCCTCTTCTTCTCTTCGGGGCGTGCCGTGGGCGGTGTTCAGCTTCCTGTACCCGATTCTGCTCCTGGTGCGGGGCGTGATTCTCCGGGAGGGCATTGCTGGTCCAAGTGTTCATCGTTTACCTGTTCTCAGTGTTGTCCCTCGGCACGATTCACCGGGGTGTCTTCGCTTCAGTTCTGGGCGATCATGGCGGAAATTGTCGGCTCTCCAACTGAAATTGGGGAGGACGAAGACCTCGACCTCGAGGAAGTGAAGTCCGAGAATGGGTCGATGAAGGTAGATGTGGACAAGGAAGCTAATCCGTCTCGCCGAGGTGCCTCGTCAAAACGGGGGCGCAACGATAGTGGTCAACTTGGTGGTGAAAGCCCTGGGAAGAAGAGAGATGCAGATAGCGATGACTCTCCTATCACTGCCCGGGAACTTCGTCGAATGCTTGCTGGGCACCTGGAATCGATCAAAACGGGGTGGAAGGAGATGGACGGCAAAGTCAAAGGCCTGGCCCGGGAAGTCGAGAACAACCGCGACAAGACGAAGGAGGTCGTGGGGCGGGTTCAGGCTGTTGAAGTTCGCGAAGCTACCACTTCGTCCAGGATATCAGCTCTGGAAAAGGGGTTGGATGACGTCAAGAAGAACCTCGTGAGTGCCCCACCTGCCGGGGCGAATGGACGCAACCAGGGCCAACTACCTGCTGGACCTGACCCATGGGCGCAATTTCTCAAAGAAAGGGGGAGACCGCCGCAACCGCACCAGCAGTTCGCTACAGTGGGGAATGGTGACACTCTCCTGAAGAATGAGAACCGTGGGGGTGAGCTCACGGAAGACGATCGGAGAACTCTAATCGTTGGAGGATGGCACCAGGACACCAAGAAATCTGTCATCCTTGAAGAGAGCCTCCAGTTCCTACAGCGGGGCGATGTCAAGGACCACCTCGACCAGAACGAGCTCTCAGTTTGGGGACCCAGAAAGAGCTTTGGGGCGTTGAAGTTCAAACCTAGGGGTGACGAAACAGAAGCCAGTGTTCGCGACAGAATGTGGCAGGTGATTAAAGCACTACGAGCCCAGCCCCTTGACCTTCCTTCTACGAGCAATGGGGGCGTTCAGAAGAAACTCTGGATACAGTTCGTCAAGACCAAGGAAGCACGCCGCCGAAGTTCTCACTGCTCACTTCTACGCCGACTTTGCCTTGAACTTGCTCGTGAACATCGTGGAGAAGGGGAGAGCGTTCGTCCCGAAGCGCTGGTTGAGGCCAACTACGAATGTGACTGGAGTGGTGGGACGGTGTGGTTTCAAGAGTGGAAAATCGGCTCAGCAAGCCATCGGATGCCCGGCCGGGACCAAGAAACAGTGAAGCAGATTCACAGTGGGTGGGTCGATGTGCAAGCAATCGCCACCTTGACCGGGACGGCATATACCAGCGCGCTTCATGCGGTGGAGCGCGAGATCAATAACCAGTGACGGCGGAAACGTTTCACCTCTACCTCTCTGGACAACTCGCTCGGGGAGGTGGATGATGCATGTGGGGTGAAGCAGACCAACATTGAATGTACGGGTCGCAGCTTTGCCTCTTGGAATGTTGGAGGACAGACTGTGGATAAAGTGGACTTCGCCGCCAGGGAATTTGATCTTTTGGCAGTACAGGAAGTTGCCCGCAGTGACAAGCCTGGTTGGGACGAGACTAAGTCAACCTACTTTCAATGGTTTCATCATCGTGATCCAGCACAATGGCGGGGAGTGTCGATTGCCATCGCCCATGACTTGTACGACTGCGTGTTTGACAAGATGGCCAACAGATATGGAGCTGCTTGGGGAGTTCGCCTGCGTGGACATAAGCGTCTGGTCATTGCTTCACTGCACTGTCCGACCGGGGTGACCGTGGCTGAGTATCAAGAAGCGCTCCTGGGGTTTCAGAAAAAACTGAGAAAGTGGCATCCCGAACTACCCGTACTGATAGGAGTGGATGCAAACACAGTTCTGACTTGGGTGAGTACCGATGATGAGATTATCCTCAGCCGTGGGGGTGGCAAAACTGACGCGTTCCTGGAGATGCTGGGAGCTTGTCGACTACGCCCGGTGGCACCGCTGGAACATCATCGACGTCTACCAACCCATTTTCCTCGGGATGCTACAAGGGTGGGGCGGCACATTGATATGATTGGTCATCGACTACTTCGTGTTGGGGAGGTGCACGTTGACAACAGTGCCAAAGAAAGCATCAACACTGATCATGCTCTACTCCGCGTGTCCATCTACCTGCCGCACAAGTTCACGAAGAATCTCAACGACAGTCGACCTAGATGGGTCGTTGGGGAGGAGCCTTGCAGTATGATTGATTGTCTTGAGGATGTTTACAACCTTGGCAGGACGCGCGCTCGGCCGAGACTTGGAAAGAGATACAGCGACGACAATGAGACACGGAAGGCCGCTGCGGAAGCCAAGGCCACTGGAGACAAACAGCAGTGGAAAGGAGTCCATGCAATGCGGAGAAGGAAGAAAAAAGTGTGGAAACAGGAGCAACTGGGGAGTATACTTCGTGGCGATTGGGGCAGGTATCGTGACTACAAGCGGGAGAAGAACACTACGGGTTGGTGGGGAGAGCTTCTTGCCAACAACAGCAGTCAGGAGATCGCCAACATGACGGAGAAACACCTAACAGAAAAAATGTGGGATGAGCAGAACTTACATTGGGACACTGATCTCCAACGACGCATCGGTGTCGTCAGGGCACGGCCTTGTACCTGTCAACCGGTCACGATCGAAGAGATGGGAGCTGCACTACAGGGCATGAAGAGTCAATCTGCTCTTGGCCCCGATGGAGTTGGGGTGGATTTGCTCAAAAAGCTCTACGAGGAACAACCCGAGAACCTTGCCAACATTGTCCTCGACTGCATCGTTCGGGACGACCATCCTGAAGATTGGGGAGTATCTTACCTTGCTCTTCTAGCCAAGATCGACAAGCCGCGGAAGGTGGGACAACTACGCCCCATTGCCATGTCTTCTACGTTCCAAAAGTTTGTCACCCGGGTCGTCATGGAACGCACCTTTGCTGGAGTACGACGGCCATGTCAGTGGGCATCCAGTGGCAAGGGAAGACAAGTTGCCGACCTGATTGGGGCGGTAAGTCGTTTCAGAGATATCTGTCGTGAATGGAAGATTGGAGGGGTGCTCATCAAACTCGACGTCCAGGGGGCGTTCGACACGATCCACCGGGGCGCTGTTGCTGACTTCCTTGAAAAACGTCTTGACAGGGAACAATATCCGTGTGAGCTTGCCTTTCTACTTCGCCTTCTTTATTCCAACTGCTTGGTTGGACAAGCGCCCGGGGGAGCCAGTGTACGGGTACAAGCCAATCGTGGTATTCGTCAGGGCAGTCCAGAATCGGCGGAAGTTTTCGGGATGATCGTACAAGAAATCTTTGCGGACGCGCACGCCGATCCACGCTGGAAAGTATCACGGGGTGAACTTGCTGACCTACCACTTGATGGGGGATGCTACCAAGATGACATGCTACTGTGGACGGACGAGATTGAAATCGCGGAGCACAACATTGGAGTGTTGGTTGAACGGCTAGGGTCAGTCGGACTACAGCTCGCCTATGACAAGACTGGGGTGATAGCAACTTCGTTCTATGAGGGACGGACTCATCTTGTGATTGGAGGCAAACAAGTCCCGTTCCTTGACGCCGATAGCTCCTTGCGAGTGCTGGGGGTCGACTTCAACCTGACGGAGAGCCCGTCGCAACAAGCCAAAGGCCTCATGGGGAGAGTATGGGCCGCCTGGTTTCAACATGCAGAGCTCTTCAGGGCTGACGCCCCCTTCCACTCCAAAGTCAAGATGATCCGCACTCTCATACAAGGGACGTGGCAATGGGTAGCTGGAGCAGTGCACTGGAATGCTGATGACCTCGTGGCGATCAACACTCTGCAAGTCCGCATATACCGTATGGCATTTGGACTACGTCGCTACCACAACGAGAATTGGGTCGATTTCAACACAAGAACGTGCCGCTGGCTGAGATGTTGGCTTCACGCTCAACACATCGAGCGATGGTCCACCACAGTGCTTCGACTACAACACCAATTGGCTGGACACTGGGGACGTCAACGAGAAGGGCAAGAACTGAGTTTGGCTGCGGCCATGCTTCGTTGGCGAGACATGGAATGGTGGAGACACGAACAAGAGTGGCCGGTGCCATTTGGTCGTCGCCATCCGGGGCGTTTTTACGCTGACAACCTAGAGAGAAGGCTTAGTTTTGTCTTTGGCAACAAATGGATGCTGCACACTACGGACAGGAACAAATGGCGTGAAGGGCTGCAGCTGTGGCTCCAACAGTTTGATGTGCCATGGACTAGGGGGAGACAACTTGAGATTGATGATGAAGAATGAGTCATATGATGATGGGGCGAACTTGTGAAGCTTCTCATGCTGATGTGCGCCGCCGCCGTTGTCTTGCACAAGTTCTTCATGTGTCCTGATGTACGCACCGAACATGTTACATGTACTTCTTTCGCATACTGAACCTGATCGAGCCTTTGCACCTTAATTTCCAGACCTTCTTTCGGGCACTTCCAATTCGTCGACAATGGCCGCGCGCGGCCGAGCTATGGCTGTGCTTGCACTAAGCGCTTGGCTGGGTGTGCTACTGGGGCGCGCTGTGTCCTCGCCGAGCCCGAGCAGCCACAAAGAACAACCGTTGCCAACACCGTCCTCGTCGTCGTCCTGGAGCTCCTCCTGGGACGCGCAAGATGGACAGTGGGAATCGCCGGGACCGTCCCCATCGTCAACATGGAGCTCTTCGTGGACGACACAAGGGAGTCAATGGGGAGATGCACAACATGAAGCAACGACTCATGGAGATCCCAGCACCGACCCTTCGAGGACTTGGGATGATTGGACAAGCAATGCTCAGCCGGAAATGAATCGATGGCAGTCGTGGGGAAGTGACACAACATGGAGTAGTCACCATGGCGATCCCGGGGAAACATGGTCGAGAGCAACAAGATACTGGGACGACTGGTCGGCTTCGACTTCTTCGGGAACGTGGGATGAGTGGACATCCTCTGTGGCTACTTGGGATGACTGGTACACTACTTCGTCGTCGAGAAGCGCTTGGCCCACGCAATCACCCACTACCTCGGGAAGCTGGAATGATGGGAAGTCCTCTACGCCAAACTCGGAGAACTGGCAATCCACTTCGTCGTCGGGGAGTACATGGACTTCATCTGAAAACTCTGCTTCGCCACACCCACCTCGTGAGAGGGGTGAACGAGCTGTCAGTGGTTTCTACAGGCACGGTGTATGGGTGCCGAGAGACAGGACGGCTGCTGAGTGGAGATTTCATGATGGAGGTGGTGGGATTGTACGACAGTCGAAAAGACAGGGGAGGATCAACTCTTGGCTGAGTGGGACGTTTGTGCCGGCCTGGAGGAGGAACCTGATGTCGGGTACCACTTCGGTGACTTCGCATATGACGGCTGCTGACTGGAGGGAGGCGCTCAACAGGCACATGCAGGAACCTCTACCACAACAAGATCAAGCGAGCGGCTCTATGTCAACGGGAAGTACAGCTGGTCATGACCAAGGAGGAGACGGTGTGTCTATGGATGCTGCTGGTATGAGTGATAGTGAAGCCCTCGGACAAACATCTTCCAACCTGCACCCTGTGAGCTCTATGGAAGGGAGCTCAACATTGACTTCTGGTTCTACATCGGAGGCTACTTCTTCCGCAGGGGCGACTATGAATCCCTTGCCGTCGAGTTCTACCTTGGGACGTACGCCGAAAGGAAAGCCGCCTCAAGGGAAACCGCCAAAGAATGGACCCAGACTCACACCCATTGCTGAAGAATACATTCCACCACCTTGGGAGGCTATCCCCACTGTGAGCACAAGGCCGCTGCCATCGCTATCACGTGAAGAGGGTGATGTGCCAACCTGGGATGGTGACCTATATGCTCCTCTACCTGGCGCTGAACTTGTCGTACTCCCTCCAGAACAACCAACATGGGATGATGGTCTACATACTCCGTTGCCTGATGCTGGACCTGCTGAAGAGAATGTTGAGACAGAGAATATGATGGGTGCCCAGCTGGAAACACAACCTGAACCTGAGCAAGAATGTGATGATGCTGGTTTGGTCTGTCGAGCAAAGCGGTGGAGCAAGCAAGGGGGAAAGTACAGCGATGAAATTCCACGGGATGTGGATACACCACCTGGTGATGATGATGGGACGAGCCTGATGCAGCTTCAGCCAGAAGAAGAACGGGAGCTCGAGGAAGCTAGGGTACCAGATGGGGGGCGACGCGCACTACGTGACCTTCTACACGCTTTGCAACGGCATGAACAGATGGACGAAGGCCCTGAGGGGCGGTGGGCACTGAGGTACTGGCTCACCCGATGGAGAAGAGTACTTGGGATGTTGGAGCTGATGACAGACTTGGTGGATAGACGACTGACGAGCAGACCGGGGTGTTCTTTGCCAATTTCGAGGGAGCCTAACACGGCGGCGCAACGAATTCGTCTTCTTACGTGGGCTTCGAGACTGGCACAGGTGCTTCTTGAACTGGGGCGCGAGATGATCAACCAGTACTGTAGGGATGCAGCCAGACTTCCCGCTGGCGTTCCACTACCTCCTCGTCCACCGCGTCGACCCATGGAGCTCCGCACGGCAGGTTACCGAGAACGCAGTCGAAGTCGCGATCAGGAGGTGGAAGGGGGCGTTCCTGAGGTGGTTGAGGAGCCGGAAGAGGAGCCGATAACTGGGGATGAAAACGTGCTCGTGCAGACTTTCAACCTCTGGGAATGGCAGACATATGGTACGTCGGAGGAGGAGTCCCTGGTTGGGGACGAACACGCTTTGGTTCAGACCTTTGACGTCATGGAATGGCAGACCTTCGCCAACCAGGGCATCAACGGGGGCGACATCACGGAGATTGACATGTTCCTGGAGGAGATCTTTCGTCTAGTACACCAACCCGATGTACCGATACACACACGTGGACATGCGATGTGGGTACTTGGGGTGCTCAACCACTCATTACGTCGTGCTGTTCGTCTTCTCAACGTCATGGCTACAGTTCTTGAAGCCAGGGAAGTTCAGGGAGGAATGACTATGCCGGCTGGGGACGATGAACGTGCCAGGTTACTTGCGCGCTGTGCCCGACCTGCAAGTATATTTGGGTCGATTCTGAGGCAAACTATACAACATGGCCTTGATGATGCACTCACAGACCCTGGGACGTTACCACCTCGTCTTCAAGTACGCGAGAGGATCCCACGACGAAATCCACGCAACACTCCTGAAGGACTCCTGACTGGGACGCGCTATGACTTGCAGGGCATCATACGGGATATGCACACTGACTTGGGGCGAGGACGAGATCGCACTCCTCGCACAGCTATGGGACGAGCTGAAGAACGTGAACAGCCACTTCGTTCAATTGCGGCCTCCTCGGATAGGCCGCCTGGGACCAACAACACTGGGGACGAAACGGGGAGCCACAGAAACCTCTCTAGTCGTGCGTCGGAGGATGAAGAGGAGGATGACGAGGGGGAGACTGAAGGCAGCACGTCAACAACTACAGCTGGGGTGGTGTTCAATGCCGAAATGCTGGTGGGTATCCTTGCACTTGGAGCATGGAATGGGACAATCGCAACAGAAACCACTACGTTGGGGAGCCTCTCCGTACCATCTTCTTCGACATCGGCGTCTTCGACAAATATCACTACTTGGGGGAGATTGTCCATGACAACTTCTTCGGCATCGCGGCCCAAGACGTCTTCTTCGACGACATCTTCATCAACATGGCCATCCACCAGTTCGTCTTCGACATCCGCCTCTACAGCAAGTACACCAACGCCCTCTCTGTGCAACCGCACGACTTCGACAACAGTGGATGGACGGGATGTACATGACCCAGAAGAGGATGTGGATGAGGTACTGCTTATGCAGGGACTACATGCGGGGGAGAGGGAACGCTTGAATGGAGCAGCGGGGCGCCGCATGGCAGTTGCGGTACAAGAACTGTTGGAGATGATGAATGGAGCCGCGCAAAATGGGGGAGTACTTCGTGGACGTGATGTTGGATGGAGTCTTGGGGTGGTGAGAGTGGGAATCCTGCAACTACTTCGAGCTCTACGGGAAGTACAACTGATCCTCGAGGCACGAGACACGTCGGTGGGGAGAATGCCGGATGAAGAAACCCGGGGCGAGATCGTCACTCAGTGCAATGGCTTCGTTATGGAAACGGCTGGGATGTGTCTTCGTCTACTTCAAGGGACGATGCAGGACGCTTGGTTAGTTCCGGAATTACTTCCCCCGACACTACAGCATGCCGAGGACCCACAGGATGGGGAGGACATAGTGAATCATGAAGGGGGAGACAGTGAACATCCTCAACTACCAGTACGTGACTCGGGCACTTCCACTACTGAGGGGCGTGAAACCTGTGAAGAGGCTGAGTGTAGTGAGATGAGGGATGAATCCATAACACGGGATGACGTGCCCTCCTTAGATGCACCGGATGCTAAACGGCAACGACTCCAGTAGCCTCATATGTCGATGTTTTGACTGAGAAGTGCCGAAAAAACGGGACTAGTGTACTATGTAGGGGCGCATGACAATATGTCAGGTCGGCCCGTTGGGAGCAGAGCCATGCAGG